TCTCAATCACCTGGGTCTTTTGACTATTTTTGAATTGTTTATAATGGTCTCAATACAAATGTGTATACAAGAGAGTTGGTCATTTCTTTAAAATGTACAAAGAAAAATGCTCACCCAAATATGAAATAGCAATGTCAGTCATGAAGATGCCATGATTAATAATGGAAAAGAGCCCTCATTTATTGAAAGAACCCTCGTTCTTTTAATGCTATTATGCCTGCAGCTGCAGCATTCTTCACACCTAAGCTTTTTTCCCCTCAAGTAATCTATGTTAATAATTGACATTATTACAGTAATCTCAGATATGAAATTAGCCAAGATCAATGGCTTATCTTTTGACTAACTCTGTCTTATAGTTAACTAGAAACTTAGTGCATGAAAATTGTGTACTGGGGGATCCCTCAGCCTCACCTGCACCCTCCAATCCAGGACCCTTTGGGGGATGTGGATTCGCAATTCAGGACCACTGGCTCCTAACAGCTCACCTTCCTGCCTGCCTGATCACCCCTAACCACTCTGCCTGCCTGTCTGATCGCCCTTAACTGCCTTTGTCTGCCTGCCTATCGCCCCTAACCACTCTCCCCTGCTGGCCTGATCACCCCTAACCACTCTGCCTGCCTGATTGCCCCTAACTGCCTCTTCCTCAGCCCTCCCACCATGGCTTTGTCTAGAAGGATATCCGGAAGATGTATGGTCTATCTGGTCTAATTATCATATTACCCTTTTATTAGTATAGATGGCTCATTAAAAACATTCTCAAACAAAGATGTAAGTTTGTGTGATACATTGGCAAAGAATTATATAAAAGATATATATGTAAAGGACTATTTTTCTGGAACAACAAAAGCAAGAATGAGTTTATAGAATCTCTAATCCCCACAATAATACAATTTAGAAACCAAAAATTCCTTTCAGAAGCACAGAGTAAATTGGCAAAATGTTTCTTTAAAAAAATACAATTTGTACAATTAACCTTCCATAATGCATGAAAACATTATGGAAAAAATTTCATAAGAGGGTAGGAAAATTAGCACCTTTTATTTGTCTGACATAAAAGATTGATTTTTTTTTTCTTTGCCTGTTACCTTCCTAGTTTTTCATCACATAGGTTACATTGATATTAAAGAACTATATTCACAGTGAACATGCAGTTCTGTTTTATTTTTAATTTATATAATTCTGGGTAACATTCATCCACTTGCCCAGGATGGAACATAGAGTCATCATAACTTCCTTACTTCCTCTGGCCACACCTGGTGAGTTCCACGTTCTGTCAGGCTCACTATTTAGCATCTCTTACATCAGACTTTCCTCTCCATTTCCATACTTCCTCCAGGCACTCCTCTTCTCTCTCCTTGATCACTGCCACTGCCTGGGTCACTTTCCCACCCATTCCTGTTGTACAGCGCTATCAGCATGATCTTCCACAGCCATTCCCATTGCTAAAGGGTTTTATTTTATGGCGTCTAACTGCATGCAGGTTTTGTGCTGCCTCTCTCACATTACTGATAGATACAAACTTAAATGCCAATATTATTGCTAGGAACTTTCTCTGAGAATGTGACATCTTCCACATGTCACCACTTCTCCTTCATCTTTAGAAAGAAGGTGGTATATTCAACAATGTATCAGGAACAAAACACACTTACACACATAATGCTAATAATGAAGGATAAATATTAAGGGTGACTTTTCTTAATTATAATTACAGACACCTCTTAATAATTTCTCTTATGAGCCGAAATCAGTTTGGCTCAGTGGATGGAGCATCGGCCTGCGGATCGAGGGGTCCCAGGTTCGATTCCAGTCAAGGGCATGTACCTTGGTTGCGGGCACATCCCCGGTGGGGGGGTGTGCAGGAGGCAGCGGATTGATGATTCTCTCTCATCAATGTTTCTGACTCTCTATCCCTCTCTCTTCCTCTCTGTGAAAAATCGATAAAATATATTTTTAAAAAATAATAATAGTAATAATAATAATAATAATAATTTCTCTTATGAGAGGTGAAAAAGGTTGTCTGTGTTTCTCAAACAAATTCACTGGCAACCTAGCATTTATTTTTAATTAAATTTTGACTAAGGCAACATTTGAGTTTACCTTTTTTATTTCGGGAATTGTTTTGATGGTCAAAAATACAAACTGTTAACCAGCTTCAAGTTGTAATAACTTAAGATCATTAAGATGCATTTTGGTTTAGAAAGCTCCGTTGTGTTCTTTTCTTTAATCATAAGCAATCCGATTAAGACAGAAAAGTGTTGTCCCATTTCACAGAAAACTGAGTCTATTGACTGGCCATGGTCACAAAGCTGCTCTACTGACTTGAATCCAAGATTTCTCATTCCAAATCTCTGCACTAATTCACAGATTCTGAGCTGTTTACACACACACACACACACACCTTGTGACTTGCATGAAACAGAATAACAAAGAAACACTTAAAAATGAAGCTATGTAATATAGTTATTTTTATTGCTCCTGATAATGTTATAGAACCACCTTTTTACCTATCTTCATGTTCTGTCTAGTGTCATTTTTCTTATGCCTCACTGCTTAAATGTTGCATTTTCCAAGTATATGAATAGAAAATGTCCAGCTGCCCCCAAAGAGCAGATTGATATAATACGAGCTCTTTGTTTGCTCACAGAATAGGCACAAGTTGTGCCCTGCCAGCTGCTTTGTCCACAGTCTGAACCTTGTTCTGTAAGAACCACCTGTATGACTGGCTGTATAATTAATTCCATACTCCGGGTTAGCCTGGGGATCTTCTGTTAAGATTAAATCAGATACTGCCTCTGAATGCGAACAATATACCACTCTCTGAATTAGATTTGGACCACTGAGGCCAGGTGGACATGGACCTCAAAACGCTGCATTTAGAAGGAATCTCGTTTATTGAGAGCTTCTTATATGAAACTGCTCTGGCAGAGAAATATTTTAGTGCTTCAGTCAGGATAGCCAAGTATTGAATCCATGGGTATTAGTACTCAGAGTGTTAGTACTCAGATTGTTAAGACTTAAAGAATTGCCCTCACTCATTTCATTTCAGATAGCAAATTACCCTAAGATAGTAATTTTAGATGACAGTGTAGAGGCCAGATTACACCCCTTTTTGGGGGAGTGATTCATAAAAGACATCTATCCAGAAAAATTGACTTATTAAATTGGAAACTGATCCGACGGTCACTTCAAGATCCAGCAGGAACTTCGGTAGTGCCTTAGAGACCCAGGAAGACAAGCCTGTGACCAATACTGAGAGTCTTTTGCATAAATGTAGCCCAGGGTTTGCACTCAACTTTAAGGACAGTCATTTTCAGGACTCTTAGAAGCCACTCGGCGTTTCAGTGCCTAAGCAACTGGCAATAATCAGACAATACGTCAACTAAAACTTGGAAGCTCGGATTATTTAAATAAAGTCTTCCTTCTTTAATCAGCACAGTCATTAAGGGGAGTTTACATATGTGCTTTCCTTCTGGTCGAACAATAACAATCACCTCCTCGCCCCTGATGAAATTACACCTTATTTGAACATGGGCTGAGCATGTTGTTGCAGGAGAGAGGGGAAGAGACAGTGTTGAGTTTTCCTAAACATTTCCAGCTCCATTTGTTGACAGAGCCTTGAGCTGTTTGGAAGCTGGGCTCCTGCTGCCTGTGGGAACAGTTGTTCCACGGGAAATGTAATTGTGAGTGGGCCATGACGCCAGACAAACTGCGTTCCAAGTAACCTTCTCTCCATTCCTATCACCACTTGGCTCACGACCTTGACGGCATCACTTGTTCCCACTCAGAAGTAGCAGCCAGAGGACGAGCGAAGGGCTGTGACCAAAAGTGAGGGAGCCGCGTTCCCTGGCTCCCTGCCGCAGAGCAGTCTCTCTGTTTCTAAATTGTTTAAATTTGGTGTGCAGGGGATTGCTTCCTGATCCTGGTGTGCTTCCTACATCTGTTTAGTCTTAAATGCTTCCTAAAATATTTTTCAAAATCCACTCGTGATTTCCTAACCCTTCTCTTAATACGCGGACTGCCTGACATGCAACTCTTCCTCTTTTAAGTCCCAGCTTGGAAAAATGCAAACAAATGGGCGATCCTGAAGAACAGACTGGGGGAAAGATGAGTGAGGGCGGTGGGAAGCCTGGGGGAGCGATGGCAGTTCTCTTGTTCATGCACCTTACAGAAATGTGTCATTATTTGTCCGGTCACTTCAACGAGGACTTCAACGAGAAAAGTTAAAGACATTGTCATCACAGCTGCTGTTTGTGTTGGATTCGGGGGGGAAATGAATGTATTGCACTCCCTCTGCTGGCTCTGAAGTTGCAACACCTCATTAACCAGATCTATATTTAGATGTCTTTTCCCATTTGATGGGGAAAAAATGGTGCGTGGAAAAAAAGGAAGCAAAAACTGGGAATGTTGTTAATTTTATTATTCATTTAAAATGTCAGGAAAAACAAACATCTGCCCAGGGCCAATGGTTAGGGGGAGCAGGGAAGCCAGCAGTCTTTAGGCCTTCCAGCGCTGGAACGGCCTTTACAAATCACTCCGTTCCTTTCAAATACTGAAACAATCTTTTCCCAGAGCTTAATAAACAAACCAGTGGATTAGCATGCTCAGTATGTTCAAAACAGTCTGGAGGACAAACACAAAGGCATGTATTTGGCTTGGGGCGGGAGGGAGAAGACAGGGTGTCTTTCACTTGGTGTCAGAAAAGGAAAACTAAAAGATCCTCACCTGAATCTTTATACATCGGGGAGGCCCCTTCGGGCGTGAAAGCATGCTGCCCACAAGCCTGGAAGAGAACCAAGCGCCATGGAATTTTACAGCCGAGGGGACCTCAGAAGCAATGGCTCTCCTCTGAGTGAGAAAGAGGGCTTAGCAAGAGAGCAAAATGCTCCAGACATCCGAGGACCGTGAGGGCCCCGCGCCCGCCTTGCTCATGTTAATCAGCACGTGGAGGGTGTTTGCTGGGCTCTGCTGCCCCCTCCATTCTCGCTTGCTTTCTTCCCCAGGCGGCTGGATGCCAACCACATCAGCTACGTGCCCCCCAGCTGTTTCAGTGGCCTGCACTCCCTGAGGCACCTGTGGCTGGATGACAACGCTCTGACAGAAATCCCTGTCCAGGCTTTCAGAAGTTTATCAGCACTGCAGGCCATGACCTTGGCCCTGAACAAAATACACCACATCCCAGACTATGCCTTTGGAAACCTCTCCAGCTTGGTAGTTCTGTAAGTTCTGTTGATTTTTTTTTTCTCTCTCTCTCTCTGAACAATTTCTAAATTCACTCTAAGACCTTGACCTTAAAGTGCTGGCTTTTCAAACCTTGAATAGGGACATTTTAAGTATGGAAAAAACCCTGAATTCCTCCCCAAAATGACTCATAAGTGTTCTAATTGTATAAAAGAATGAAACAACATTTATGGAATACCTGCTAAGTGCCAAGTACTGCTGAGCATTCAAAGATAATAAAATATGCCCTCTGCCCATTGTATATTGTACAAGTAACCACCATACTGTACAATTAGTAAAAATGCCTTATTTCTGATAATAACATAATTCAGGTCAAATTGAAATATGCCATTCATATATATATATATATATATATATATATATATATATATATATAAAAGCCTAAGTGATAATTAGGACCAAATGACTAGAACAACCGGAATGACCAGTGGACCAGTTGCTATGACATGCACTGACCACCAGAAGGCAGATGCTCAATTCAGGAGCTGCCCTGTGGTGGTCAGTGCACTCCCACAACCAACCTCCAGTAGTTCCCCCCTGGCTGGCCGGCTCCCCAGATCTGCCCTGATAGAAGGCGGGGTGGGGGACATTGGTCAACCTCCCAGGGTCCCTACTCCCAGCCAGTCCCCCCCATAGGCCTATATCACTGGCCAAGCTGAGGGACCCCACCTGTACACAAATTTGTGCACGGGGCCTTTAGTTATTTATTAGATGGTTTGGCTTAATGGGTAGAGCGTCAGCACATGGACTGAAGGGTCTGGGTTCAACTCCAGTCAAGGGCATGTATCTTAGTTGCAGACTCAATCCCCAGCCCTGGTTGGGGCACATGTGGGAGGCAACCAATCAATTTCCCTCTCACATGAATATTTCTCTCTATATATATCTCTCCCCCTCCTTTCCACTCTCTAAAAATCTATGGGAAAATATCCTCGGGTGAGGATTAACAAATAAATAAATAAATATTCTTAAATCCCTACCAAGGAAAGAGAAGCAAGAATGAACCTGAGTGTGAGCTATGCATGTCTATCCCTCCCCACTATATGTCTAGGTTCCATTGTTTCAGTAAATCAAAATGATTCTAGCCGGGACCGGTTTGGCTCAATGGATAGAGCGTCGGCTTGGGGCCTGAAGGGTCCCGGGTTCAATTCCGGTCAAGGGCATGTACCTTGGTTGCGGGCATATCCCCAGTAGGGGGTGTGCAAGAGGCAGCTGATCAATGACTCTCTCTCATTGATGTTTCTAGCTCTCTATTCCTCTCCCTTCCTCTCTGTACAAAAATCAATAAAATATATTTTTAAAAAAAAATGATTCTCAATTAGTAGTTTGAAAAATAACCAGCCTTCTGTGAGAGTGAGGAAATATGCCCCATGTATATAAAATGTCAGCTGATGCTGATAGAGGAAAATAGCAGCTGCTCGCAAGGCTGTAAGATCAGTTCGTGGAAGAAGCTGGACCAAGGCCTCTTCTGCACTGTTTCTCCTTTCACTGAACGCCCGCCCACCCACTCATCACCGCCTCAAATCATTCCACTTTACTTGACTGCATGTCTGCCTTTTGCATTGTATACTACTTTGAGAGCTCACCAGCTTTTTATTCTTTTTTTTTTTAAGGTTCCCCTCAATCCCTTTCCCCACGTGTTGCATGTAGAAGATCCTCAATAAATATTACATGCATCTCATATGAACCCAATGCATATATATTAGATTAAGAGCCTTAACCTGAAAGAATAACAAATTTGGGTTGATATCAACATCTTTCTAAACTGAATTTTACTCACCAACATGGTGCTAGGGACATGCCAAAAGCTGGACAGGTGCTTTGTTTTCTCTTCCACTAGAACAGTGATTTTCAACCTTTTTCAACTCATGGCACACTTAAACTAATTAATAAAATTTGAGGCCACACCAAAAATTATATTTTTGCCGATCTGAGGGGGGAAAAAAAGTATAATTTTGATTCACTCACACTGACTGTTGTTGTTGTGTTTGCTATGGTCGTTGTATTATTTGACAATCTAAGTGCCCCTGACTCAATAGTCAGGTAGTATGTGTTTTAAAAATTCTGCAGCACACCAGTTGGAAGTCACTGCACTAGAGGAAATAGATTTACAGAGAGCCAGCTATTCTTTTTCACTTAAGCTCATCTTCTAAAACCCTCTTTGGGACTTGATCCAGTTTCCAGTTATGCACACAGTAGCTCTCATTGGCTTTGTCCTCACTCACTTACCATGGAGCCAGTGGTGATAATTATACACACTTATAGTGTGTCAAGATAACTCATCTCCTTGGGCAGCCAAAATATATGATCATCATTTTCTGCCGTCAAAATTGCTGTTTTCTCTTTCCCTGTGGCCCTGTCCTGGGAATGTAGTCATCATAAGTCATGAGCTTCAACAACAAAAACGTGCTGACACACCAGGACCTTCCCTCCACCCTCCATTTGCCAATGAGGGTCAGTATCGTTCTTATCACCCTACCTCCAAAGCCATGCTAATTAACCCCTGTCGGAAAACATGCTGAACAACCACACTGAGCAACCTGGATTTATTTTTATCAATCATGTTGCTCATATTATAATACACTACCTGATATCTCAACCTGAAAGGTAAAACTGTGACTGCCTATTAAATTCTAAGGTATAAAATCATCTAGGCAAGAGTGAACGGAGCATATAACTGTTTTTACAAATCGTTCAACAAAGCATTTCCTGTATATAATTAGTGCATTCTGTAGTTTAAGTTTCTTTGGATTTAAGCGATTAAAATGTGCCTAAGTTTCTATGTGCAGTGTGCCTTGCTGACTGTCTGTAATGTTCTCCTGCAGGCATCTCCATAACAATAGAATCCACTCTCTGGGAAAGAAATGCTTTGATGGGCTCCACAGCCTAGAGACTTTGTGAGTTGACCTTTTATTTGTTTCTCTTTTTTTCAGTGTTTTCCTGAGTATTCTGAAGGAATCAAAACAGTCTTAAAATCAAGATTGCTGTTGGGTTTGGTTAATTGCCTGAGCTTTAAACAGATATCCACTGCAGCTTTATCTTACACACAAACACACACCTGGCAAAGCTAAACAAGATTTTATCTTGATCTAGCAAGAGTGATAAATTAGTTAGAATCATTATTAGCTAAAGGAGATGCTTTCCACTGAGCAAAGACTATGTGTTTGGAAATGTGTATTCTGTGAGAATAAGGACAGGAGGGGGCTAATGGGGCAGGAGGAATGAGAGATATCTGTAATAATATCAACAATAAAAAAAATTCATTTTAAAAAAGAATAAATTCTTTATTGTCCAGGATGCAGATCAGGCTGCAATCTAAGATGAACAGTTCTCTAATTAGGAAACCACAGGGTTCATGCTAAAAGCAAATCTAAAGACTAACAAGTTACGGTGGCCCCCATGTATTGAGTATATCTGTAGTCAAATATGGCACTGGACATTTGGCACACTTTCAGTGAATCCTACAACCATCCTAGGAAAGCAGACATTACCCTCCCATCTTAGGTCCAGTGCTATCAAGGTTTTTACCAACATCGCATAGTCAATAGCTTAACTGGGATTTGCTTCCTTCTCTAGTTTGACTTCAAAAACCATGTTCACTACTACATTCTACTTCCAAAGAAAAAGTCAAAAAATTAGTTTTGAGTTGCTACCTGTAATAAAACTAGAGCCCCGCCAGCCGACCTTAGCCTAGAGCAGTGGTCGGCAAACTCATGAGTCAACAGAGCCGCAGTTTGCCGACCACCGGCCTCGAGTGTATCCCAAAGTCACTTGGAGACGGGCTTCTCATGGGCCACACACCTGGCTGAGCCCTTTCCCAGGTGGGGAGCTGCTCTCCATCACCCTGCTGAGTGGGAGAGGCAGAGGGAGGGTGGGGCGACAGGCAGAGCAGGTTCTGAATGTGCTGGGAGAGGAGGGTGGTTCCAGCTGTGTCCCAACTCAAACCTCGTGTTTTCACTACTCGACAGTGCTGCCTGTGACAGGACTGCGGAAGGGGAAAACCAGAGACCACCTCTGCGGTGGCCTTGGAGCCCATTAATCATTTGCACACAGAGCTTAACAACTTGCACGTGATCAGTCGAACTTCCAACCAGCTCTGCATCCACCCATTTCCTTCAAGGCCATCTATTGTCCGTGGCCTTCTGGAGGCCGATCCGCACTAACAGCTCTCCTTCCCGGGTTACTTAAGTCACTCTGTGTTTCCTCCTAGAAGGGAGCAATCGTCCTCACAAGGAAATGCCAAAGATGAAATTGTCCAGGCAGGACTTTGATGTCAACTCAATGGCCCTGGCAAACAGTTTCCACGGGCTGCTAGGAAAAATTAGGACTTCTCTCTAATCTACACAGAGCCGGGTGGGGGATCTTAGGGATGGAAAGCACCTTCGGTCCTTTTCAATTCAGCAGGAACAAAAACAAGATGGGCTTTGATGGGTATTTCCGTAAATAGTCTCCCCCACCCCCTCGTGTTTAGGTGAGGACCCAGGGTTGCATGTAAATACCATGGAATAAAGCACTTCAGGAGAAACATCTTACTGACCCTCTCCCTTCCCCTTGCCCAGGGCTGAGGATCAGTCAATTGGTTCCTCCCAATGTCTTCCTTTCGTTCACTAGAAATCCAAGTAATTTATAAGGACTCAGTACTTTTTTAATCAAAACATAGCATCTGGAGAGATTTACAAACAGGAGGAAAATTTATGTCCACAAAAGAACCAAGTTTCCAGCTTAAAAATGGTTTGTGTCAGACAAGTAGGAATCTTGATTCATGTCTAACTCAATTAAATTATCTCTCTTTTACAATTAAATAGCAGTTCTTTTCCACAGAGGAAGATCTAACCACATCTGATTGCCTGACCAAAAGGTTTCTCTGTGTCATCTGGGAAATCTGCCATTCCCAGAGATCAGGAGGCAATTATTTTTCATACAAAGATGTAGCTATAAGGTGGAGTAAATCTATAAAGCTCGTGTGAGTAATGGAATTGAAAAGCCATTTGTGTCATAACAAATAGGGAAATTAATGGTTTGAGATTGTTTGGCTATCCCATCTATGTGCGTGAAAAATAATACAGAGCTTTGCCTCCCAGACCAACAAAAACATCATACTTCTGATCTGAATCACTATTTGTGTCCCTGAGAAAATTCTAGACCTAATGTTCTTCCTGAGAGTACCCTGCACATATAAACCTCTCCAGAAGCAGGCTGTCATCTGGACCTCAGGCTGTGAGGGAGAAGGCACTCCCCAGGAGCCAGGGACAAAGCAGCTCTCTGAGAGGTCCTGTCAGGCAAGACTCTAAAGAGCAGGGGAAGGAGAGAGTGGAGGACGGAACAAGGAAGAGCATGTGATTCAGGAGCCCAGAGTAGGGCAACTACAATCTGGCAGTTTAGTGAGCTCAGCTCAGGTGAAGAGCCATTTTAGCAAGCTTTTAACACTTGGCCAGGCATCCCTCCTACTTGATCACTGACACCTATGTCCCCTTCCTTTTTTGAAATGCCCCTGTGCCATTGAGCCTTGACTTTGAAATTTCTCATGGCCATATTAATGCAGAGACTTGTGGAATGGTGGTGATCAGCAAGCCAAGCAAACCACTCTTCATAAAGAGAAGGAATGAGCCCTGGTTGGTGTTGCTCAGTGATAGGAGTGTTAGCCTGGGAACCTAAAGGGTCTCGGATTTGATTCCAGTCAAGGGCATGTACTTGAGTTGTGGGTTCGCTCCCCATCCTGGTTGGGGCACCTGTAGGAAGCAACCAATTGATCTGCCTCTCATTTCAATCTCTCTCTCTCTCTCTCTCTCTCTCTCTCTCTCTCTCTCTCTCTCTCTCTCTTCTGCCTCCCTCAAAACCTCAATTTGACTCGCTCTGAAAAAGCAATAGAAAAAAAACATCCTCAGGTGAAGATTAACCAAAAGGAAAGAAGAGAAGAAATGAGAATTTTCATCAGTGATACTGGTCCATTGAAATAACTTGTTAACTTTCCTAGTAACTGTAATATATATGAATCTGTACATGAAAAACTGAAAATACTATGTGCTTACTTTCAGAGATTTAAATTATAATAACCTTGATGAATTCCCCTCTGCAATCAGGACTCTCTCCAATCTTAAAGAACTGTAAGTATTTAGGACAGATTTGAAGGGAGATTCTATTCTTGGTTAATTTATTTTTTTTAAGCGTGACTTAGTAGGAAAAAAATTTTAATTCATATAACTGACAATTAAGTACACTTGAAATATACTGTAATTGATTCTATCATCAGAAACCATCAAATAATCTTTTTAAATTGATAATGGATTTCTCTAATATATGTATATTAGAAAAAATATATACATATTTCTCTAAGCCACACTTCTTTCCTAAGACACATTTCCCCAATATTCATATACTTTATAGATTTGTGTAGAATTGTAATGGAATTCATTTATTTGCTGAACATTTTGAAAAACATTTCTATATATAGCAACCTAGAATAAAATGCATGTGCCTAGTGCAGTGCTAGATGCTTTCACATGTTATTTCACATTCTTTAAATATTTCATGACTCATGTTTAATTAAAAAACACAATTTTACTAAAGTAGAGCTAACCTTCAGCTATTATGTTGTATACATTCTTTTACATACTATAATTAGTTTTTCACTGTACTTAAAAAAAAGGAATAAAATAAACTATATAAGCAATGTGCTAACACTTGGAAAGGAAAAATAAGCCTAGAGCCTATTTTCCTGGCAGAGAGAAATAAGACACACAGCTAAAGGAGGTAGACTGCATGGGCTTGTTTATATATAAAAAAAAAAAAAAAAAAAAAAAAAAAAAAAAAAAAGAAAGAAAGAAAGAAAGAAAGAAAAAGAAACCTTCAGAAGGTTCTGTCTTGGGAAAACCAACCTGCTGTGGCCTAACTGGGAAGTCATGGTTGTCTATGGCGAGGCTCACCAATGACTGCCACTCATCTCATCCTCAGGCCCTCATAGGACCCAACGACCTTCGACTGTGCCCCTCTGCATTCAGACAACATTAGCATCAACAGATGAGAATCAGTTCATTTTTACAGACTCACTGAGCACCTTCTTTCAGCTCAGGAAATTCTGTTCTCATAAGGAGATGACTTAAATCTCTGCCTCACTGCAGCTTACGTCCATTTTCTTTCTCCTAGCTTCAAATGGGGACATAGATGTCTCCATAGATGCTTCCCTCTGTCTCAAGTTGTTACACAACAGTGCTCTATCAGATTTTAACAGATGGATTTTCTTTAATAGCATTAGATTGTAAGTTCCATAAAGCACAATTATTACTTTCAGAGTCTTTATTTCTCTTTCAAGACAACAGCCTGTGATTTCTTTTTCTCCTAGAGAGTGAGGGCATGTAAGTTTCAAAATGCACAGAGGAATTTAACCTGAGCCTCTAGTTACTAAAGGTGCTGGTAATCGCCATGGAGCGAGACGGTGAGGGCTAATAATAAATTTATCCCACACAATATTTCCTACAAAGATTTTTTTTTCTTCTCTTCCTAGAGGATTTCACAGCAACAATATCAAGTCGATACCTGAGAAAGCATTTGTAGGCAACCCTTCTCTTATTACAATGTAAGTGGCCGTGGTTCTTTTTTATTTTCCCATCCTGAAATAGAACATGCATTGCTCTTTTAAATATAATACAAGGAATGGTCTATCTGTGCCCAAGTTTTTCCCCAGCCAATGTAAGACTCGATACCGAGAAATATGTAGAGAGATGTTTTGCCAGGTTTTAGCTAAATGATGAAATAATATAAAAGATTTGTTTTTCTAGGACCTTCAATATGCATTACATTGTGCATCATATCTTCAGATGCCTTTTCTCACTTCACAATGAGACTTGTGAAATGCTTTGCTTCTCTCTATTTTATAAGGAATAAAACTGATTTTTAAAATGAATCCAAGTGTACTAGAAATATGCATTGTTATATACAAATAGAAGTCCTTTACAACAATCAACTCCAGCCTAAATTGATGGTGGGGAATGGGAATACTGTTTTATTCTGTCTGTATACCCACTGATTGTCAAGCCAACCATGAAGTCACATTTATACAATTACAAGCTAAGTTGTAACTCTAGAAATATGCCTATGTTTTAGAAAGGTGTATATGAGGATTTAGGTACCATAAAAGCACAAAATACAGCTATAATGAATAATTAATTCTATGTTTCATATTTACCACAGACGTAAGACTGATCATAGGTAGATATATAAGAAGATGAAACTGTGTTAGCATTGGGCTAGTTCTTAGTTAAAAAAAGATAGTACCTGGCAGATTTGAGACACAGGAGTGGACTGAGGTCATGGGTGAAGGTGAAACCAAAATGTGGTGTTCACTGTCCAAGTTCGTTGCCTCACAGAACCGAAGAATGGATTCACGGACAAAAATGGTTAACAGAGGCAAAGCTCATTAAGGGATAGACGGACTTCCTGCCGCAGGGGCAGCAAGAAGGGGACCCAAAGCGGGTTACTGGTGAAGCTTCTCTGTCTCAGGTTCCTTAAACCCATCCTGGAAAAGGTGCAGCTGGGGTTCCAAAAGCAGGCCAGTTCCCGAGCTTCTGTTCCGTGTTGCAGCTGGGTGTAGTTCAGCATCCAAGCTAACTGAAGTCCATCAGTCCATGTGTGCAGTCCCACATGGCCACAAGCCACATGGGTGCAGGGGAGTATACCCCCTGAGATAGGAGCCCAGCGCGCCAGAGACAGAGAGGGGAGTGTGTGCTTCTTTGTCCAGGGGTAAATTCATGCTTGCGAGTTCTGATTGGTCCTATCAAAGAATTCTGCCATAGCAACATCCTTGGGATTGATTATATATACACCTCACTGCCTTGTGATTGGCTATCTGCAAGTTGCCTGTCTTAGTAGCACCTACACATTTTAAAGCTGAGGTCTCCCGCGCACACCCTTCTTTCCCCACCTACCTGGGTTCCCCGGTTCTAGGTCCTTTTGTTTGTTTCTGAGGTGCAATCAGTAAGCTTCTAGCCTGTTCACATCTGCAAGGTCCTGTTATTCTAGGACTTTCCCATTCTTCTCCCTCTCCCAAAGTCCCGTCCCAACGTCCCATCCCTGACTGCCTAGCCCTTCTGCCTCCTCAAGGCATCTTGAATTTGGAGGAAGAGAGTAAGGACAACTGTTGAACATGACTCTAGGGGCACTTCTTGGCAGAAATCCATCCTGTGCCAATTTGATTGAGAGGCATTCTGGGACAGCGTACCATTTGTCACAAATGAGCTGGAGTCCCAATTAGCCCTGACAACTAAGAAAAAAAAAAAAAATACCATTCATCATTCCTGAAATGTTCTGACAGTATGTTGGAAAACGAAGGGTTTTTTAAGTTTATTGCCAATAAACATTAGTCCTCGTTAGCGAGTATTTACATAGTAAGAGGTTGGCAACTTGCATTGCCTTTGCTTCTTCTTCCTAGCAGCTGCAGGCCTGGGTGTATTTTAATCACTCTTGATTTGCTAATAACGCTTGAAGGGACTAACAACCCCCCAATTATTAGTGCTCCTATCCAATGTTTGATGTTGCCTTAATCCCTCTTCTCCTTGCTTCTGCTTCTGTTTCCATCTCTTGTCATTGCCATCCCCACCCACGCCCCTCCCAGGTTTCCACTTTCTGTGAAGGCAAAAGCTTCCTGTATCTATTGGCTACGCAGGCTTTATTTCTCCCTCTGCAGTCCCATCCTATGCCTAACTTCCCATCCAGCTGCCCATCAGCCTCTCTGTTCTCAATTACCTCTAGATGTGCATCAAGCTAAGGCTCATCTCCCTGCATCCACCACTGGTAGAGTCATCTCTCTTGAAACACAGCATCCATATTATCACTCTCTTGCTATGAAACATGCAGAAACTCAGGGTTTTCTATTTACGTTAAATGCATACTCCTTACCCTGGCTTTCACAGCCTTCCATGTGGCCCCGGCCAACCCTCCTGATCAGTTCCCCAAAGCTCTACTCAATTACCCTACACATAGTCCAGACCAACGAAGCTAAATTCATAAAATTAATATTTCCTTGTTTCCTTTGCTCCTATGATGCTATCTCCTCAGTATACTTATTAAAAATTTGTTTTCCAGGGTCCATTTCAAATGAAATTTTTATTAATTTTTTTCCTGATCTCATGAAGGAACTCGCATCTGAGTACCCTATAGCTCCTTATTTGTATCTGTGATGACTCTGCCATGTATACAAGCATGTGTATCATATCTGCCCAGGGTACACTGAATATATATGAATATATAATTGCATAGTGCAAATAAAGGATAATATAATATTATGAGGCAAATTCCATTTTTTTAGCCCTTGTGTGTTATGATAAGATTTGACCAGAGGATAGACTCTTCATGTAACATATAAAACTTTACCTTTCTTCAGTTAGTGATATTAATTAACGATATCATTAATTAATATCATTAATTGCCAGCACCCTGAGTTACCTTTCTGGCACTAACTAGAGTCCACAGATGTTGGAGGCACAGGGAAGTTTTTAAGTAATAACGACTGTCAGTTTATTTGCTTTTCTCCTTAGTAGCTATCATTCATATCTGCTGTCAGAAACTTTCTATCTTAAATAGTATGGATTTCTTACCAAAAGTCTCATAATATAAGTTAACACTTTTGAGATTGCTTGAAACCATGTAATCGGGAATGTTATATAATACTAGAGGTCCAGTGCATGGATTCGTGCACTGGTGGATCCCTCAGCCTGGCCAGCTCCCTCTCTATGGAATCCCTAGGGGGATGTCTGCATTGAGAATCTTCCCCTTGGTGGTCAGTGCCTGTCATAGTGACCAGGCAAATGGTCATTTGGTCATTTGGTTACTTAGGCTTTTATATAGAGAGATAGTATAATGGAAATTACATAAAAACATTGAATGTACTTGTTGAAATTTGCCATTTAAGTTTTTTACTAAGACACTGGTGTTTGGATTTTTTTTTTTTCCAGACATTTCTATGATAACCCGATCCAGCTTGTTGGGAGATCTGCTTTTCAGCATTTACCTGAACTAAGAACACTGTAAGTTTTTCTCTGACGTATCACTTTCCCTTGTAGGGTTGCTGTAAAAACCAAATGAATGTTATAAAGTTGAAGTGGTTTTGAAAATGGGAATAAAAACTACCCATTTTTGCCTGAACAGCATGGCTCAGTGGTTGACCATTGACCTATAAGCCAGATCACAGTTCCATTCACAGTCAGGGCACATGCCCAAGTTGTGGGCTCAATCTCCCACCCCAGGTGGGGCACGCAGGAGGCAGCTGATCAACAATTTCTCTCATCATTGATGTTTCTATCTCTCTCTCCCTTCCTCTTTGAAATCAACAAAAATATATTTCTTAAAATATACGTTAAAATTTTTTTAATTATCCCTTTTTATCTCCTCCCGATAATTCTCATGTGTCCCTCCTTCTAGGACTTTGGATGGTGCCTCACAAATCACTGAGTTTCCCGACTTGAGTGGAACCGAGAGCCTGGAGAGCCTGTGAGTACTTGAGAAAAATCTTGACTTTGACCAGAACAGGCACTGCTTTTAAAGCACAACCAGTCTGAACGTCAGTGAATCAAAATGCGTCCGTGTGATGCCTGAATAAAAGAGCTATGTCTGGTTTTGTGTTTCAACAGGACTTTAACCGGAGCACAGATCTCATCTCTTCCTCCAACCGTGTGTGATCAGTTACCCAATCTCCAAATGCTGTGCGTATCAGTAAGGCAATAACGCTTTGTGAACAGGCAGCCGCCATCTAGGGGTGAAGTGGCAGGCATTATTTCAAAAACCCTTTAAAAGGGGAGGAAGTTCTTTCTCTGCTCTTCTCCAGGAGGCCAGGCCTCCTTTGCCCACTGTGGGCCAGGGAAGCAGCTCCCTGACAATGATGGCAGTACACCATGTTTCCAAACCCCAAACGGTCTCCCACTAGATTCCAACTGGCACACATTTCCTTTAAGAAAATGGATATGAACAAGCCCAAATAACTTCCTTTTCCCCTCTAAAGGCTTTTCAGAGCAGAAAAAAATAGATTAAAAACCTACTATGGATGCCAAAATAAAAAAAATTAAGCTATCAGATGCACACAGACCTTGATAAAGGCAACCAAACGTCCTTCCGGTATAGTTGTGGGTGCCATGTTCTAATGTTTCATCTAATGGTTAAACTGTTTGCATATGTTATTTCTGTTGGCTTGGAGCTTTTTTTTTTTTTTTCTTTTCCCTCTGCCTTTCTTGTTTTATGAAAAGTCGTTTATAGGAACTTGAAGAGCTTTATTTTGACCTTCCATTCTCAGCCCTCTCCCTGAAATCCCACTCAACCCTATTATCGTCCTCTCAAGCATTGTTGGGACTTAGTAAAAGGGCCCTTCATCGTTTGCCATGGTTCTGTTCTCACGCAGTAGACATCTGTGGCCATTGAATGCCTGCCATTCCACCACAGGCTTTACCTAGTAGCAGCGCTACAAGCAGCACTACAGATGTTAAATGGAAGAAGGGGGAAGTCTGTCGTGGTGGTTCTGCCTTCCCCCATTCCCAGCCTGCACATCATTCCAGGCCACAGTTGCTCAATGGATGGAGTTGCAATAATACCATGGGATAGCCTTGGAGTCAGGCGTTTATGTTTGAAGGAAAGGACAGAGCTGGTCTCCACTTATTCACCCCACATTGCCCTAGGAGGTAGAGATACAGATGAGAAAACTGAGAATTGGGAAACTTAAGGGCAAGAAAGTAGCAGAGTCCAAATTTTAAACACAAGCAGTTTTATTGAATAACTAGGCAAAAGTGTATGTACAGCAGGTGGTGGAAATCATGGAGCCATCTTAGAATTCTCCCCACAACACACAGAATAAGTATAATTATCCTCATTTCTTAAGAAAACTGGATCAATACCATGACTAGAATTTTACATCCTATAATTAATAAGTTGGGAGCCAGTATTTAAATTGCATCTGTTGCCTGGCTGGTGTTGCTCAGTCGTTGAGCGTTGACCTGTGAATCAGGAGGTCACAGTTCCATTCCTGGTCAGGTCACAAGCCCGGTTGCAGGCTCGAGCCACAGTAGGGGGCGTGCAGGAGACACCAAATCAATGATTCCCTCTCATCATTGATGTTTCTATTTCTCCCTTTCTCTACTTCTCTGAAATCAATAAAAATATATTTTTAAATATTAATAATAATAATAAATTGCATCTGTCTTCATTATGTCATACAGTAAATATTAAACCACCCAGTTCTAGAACTGCATTAATGGAGACTGATTGACAAATTGGTTATGCGTAAAGACTCTGGGGTCTGTTTTTCTGGTTCAAGTCCAGTCTCTCTCTATACCAGCACAGTATATTGAACAAGTTGTTTATTCCTTCTTGTCTGTTTCCTAATCTATAAAGTAGAGGTGTAATTACTTCCTTCAGAGGATCATCATGAGGATTAAATACCAGCCCCGGGAATATTGCAAACTCTCAGGCAGTGTTAACTCGTCATCTTGTTTCTCACTTCCATTATTCTTCCTCAAGTTGAAACTAGAAATGCCTGAAAATACACAAATACATTAATAGCAGGATCTTGCCATTTTCAAAGCACTTCAACCTACAATATTGATTTGTTCTTCCCAACAACTTTGCAATATCAGCAAAGCAGCCATCTTCTCATTTAAGGAAAGAACTGAGAAAGATACCAGTGCTCTGGCCAGTGTATCAACCAAGTCGATTGAGTTGAAGTTGAGAACAGAATTCAGAGTCCTGACCTCTACTACAGTCTACTTTAGGTTCTAGAAGCAGAGGTCTGAGAGCAACCTTTTAGGCCGAATCATCCGTGGGTCCTTGTTACATAAGGAAATTTAACTGCACTTGAATGGTTTCACCCCAAACTTGCTTCACCTCCAAGGGAGTTACTTGGTTGTGTGTGGCTTTCCATACTTAGCAGCTGGTGATCTTAAGCAAGTCATTTCACATTGTATGAGGATCATCATAGTGTCTCCCTCAGAGAGTGACCACAAACGTTAAGTTAAATAATTCTGGTAGAGCTGTAAACATGGTATCTACATGTAAGAAGTGCTTGGTCAATGTTAACCATGAAAATCATTAGGTAGAAGTTAGGTAGGAGGTGACACTGTGTCTTTTATGAGGAAGAGGATTTTATGCACCCTCTACTAAGAGGCACACAGGAAGGATGTGTCCCCTTGAAGTCTGTGAAGATCAGTGAACCAAATTACTCTCAGGTTTGATAACAAGTGTGTCCATTTTATTTCACTCACTTTTCAAAATTACATACCATATACTTGTGTATAGGTGGGAGGCATGGTTTTGCTATTTTGTTTTTTATTTGGTTTGATCTTTGAAACCTCTACAATAAACTACAAATTTGTGTTTGCAAGCAGCTTTATCTGAACTATTTATGTGGAGGAAATGAATTGTATTTCTATATAAATTACATTTATCCAATAAATGTAGAATAAAGTGATCAATTAAAGAATAAAATAACTTAAGAGCCTCTTAGTATTGATTGTTTTAGTTACATAGTTGGGATCTAGTTTTAAGAATTAAAATCAGGCATAAAAACGTGTTAGCTGATTAGCTGATAACTTCTAAAATATGAGACAAAAGTTTTTACAAATATATCTATGTTACTTTATCTACCAGATTTCTTTTTCTAAGCTTTCTGCAAATTACCGTGGCTTGTTTTAGATTAGTTATATTCTACTCTAAATATATCCAGATGGTTGTGTTATTCTGTAATTTGTTGAGTTTTGGCTGAAGACTTTCTTAGATTTCCACTCCTCCCTTTCTCGTAGTGATTGATTTCCAAGTTAATGCTATGTTTTGAATTGTTGTTGGGTTTTTTTTTAGTTAATTAGAAAAGAACCAACAGTGATTCTTTTAGCTGTAGATAGCAGTTCTTAGAAACAGAGGTACAATTATTTAATTTGATTTGTACTCATTTAAGTAAGGTAATAGCTAGAACATTGTAGATCATCACTAACAAAATATAAATATATTCATTAAGTAAATTATTTAAATCAATTAAAGAAGTATAACAGTTACATTTTAGTAAACATTTGAATCTGCTGCTTAATCCAATAACGGTGACTACCTGCTCCATGTCAGGCTGGAGAAATGTTCAATGTCGGCCTTTAAGAGATATATCATCTCAAAAGGGAAAGGGAGCATGTTTCCTTACGATTAATATGTAACAGACTTTTTCCCTTTTGTACCTTCTGTTTTTCAGAGATCTATCTTACAACCTGCTGGAGGATTTACCCAGCTTTTCAGTCTGCCAAAAGCTTCAGAAAATGTATGTCTATAAAGTCTCTAAGTCACCTAGCCGAAAATAAGAACCCAAATTCACGTATCCAGGAGTCATTGATTTGCTTGGGTCACTGAGAAGACATTTCATGTGTGTTTCCTTCTTACACACACAACATGACTGTATGGGATAGCTATAAAGTTGGGAAATACAAATAATACTACTTTACCATGCATTATATGATAAGTAAACCATTTATTATTTCCTGTCCCCTCCTCCCCTGCCCTGAACTTGGTATAATAATGAAGACAGTTTGTTTGAGCTTTGGCATTTTGCTAAACTTACATATCCAATAAGTTGTGTGTGTTTTTTTAATATGGGAGTTTTGAGTTTGTTGGTATGTTTGTTTCACATTAGTCATCTTTAGGGGAGGTGCAATATTTGTCATATTTGAAGTGCCATTGGTGCTACTTACACACAAAACATTTTAAAAGTCCTTTCTTAAAATTGCCACCTCCATAAAATATCAGTGTATTGCTTTATACTCATACTTTGGTTTTGATCAAAATAATATTAACCGTCTTAATTTTTCTCTGAACGCCTTTGGAAAATTAATGGAGAAAGAAATAATCTATTTTGAAAGGCAGTTTGGAAACTCCTGGAGACCCTAAAATATAAGAAAGGCTCTGAAGGCAGAGCTAGGAGAGGCATTTTCAAAGTATTTAAATAAAGATGGCATTTGGGATATAGTTTTGTGTTCACCCAAAAGAACTAGCTGCTTTGAAAGAGAGACAAACAATACTTGTTTAAGTGTAGAAGTTACAATGTTCTTTTTTAAAACAACAACAAAAAAATGTTAAGGTCACTTGATAGTCAATTTCATGTATTTCTTTGATTGAGGGCAGGTATTCCCTTCTGTAAAAGTTCTCAGAAGACTAGGCTTTGAAACCAGTGACTTTGAAATCAATCTTTGGACCTCTGTCATTTCAGAGACCTGCGACATAATGCAATCTATGAAATTAAGGTTGACACTTTCCAGCAGTTGTTTAGCCTTCGATCTCTGTGAGTATTGCCTCCCAGCACCTTCCCCATCACAGCGCACTTTTTTTCTTTCTTGGGTCTTTGTTTAATAATGTATTTTCCCTGTATGTGCATATTGTGGGTATATATTTGCTATGAAAAGGCAAATATTTTGCTAGTGATCATTTCCAGAAATAAATTCAAAAGTTGTATTTGCAATATGCTCTCTGCCAGTCAGCAGATCTGAAACTTTGGTAAAGAGGAAGGAGGCCACTCTGTGAATAACTGACAAAATATGTTTCTGTTTATAGCCTGGAATTATCAGGGATTGCTTTGTATACAAAGATGAAATAACCACGCAATTCTTACTGCCCATTTTTTCTTTGGTGGTTAAACAGTTTTCCTTTCTTTTTTTTTAGTTATATTTTTTATTTTTCAATTACAGTTGATACACATTATTATATTAGTTTCAAGTGTACACCCCAGTGATTAGACATTATACAACTTACTAAATTATTATCCTGATAAATGTCATACCCATCTGACACCTTACATAGTTATTACAATATTATTGACTTACATAGATATACAATATTATTATTCCCTGTGCTATACTTTACTCCCATGACTATTCTATAACAACCAATTTGTACTTAATTCCTCCACCTTTTTCAACCACTCTCTCAACTGCCTGCCCATCTAACAACTGTCAAAATGTTCTTATACCTCTGAGTCTTTTTCTGTTCTGTTTGTTCACTTCTTTTGTTTTTTAGCTTCAATTGTTAAAAGATATGTATTTATTACCATTTTATTGTTCATATTCTTTGTTGTTGTTTTTTTCTTCTTCTTAAAAAAAGACCCTTTAACATTTCATGTAATATTGGTTTGGTGGTAATTAACTCCTTTAGCTTTTTCCTGTCTGGGAAGCTCTTTATCTGTCCTTCAATTCTAAATGATAGTTTTACTAGGTAGAGTAATCTTGGTTGTAGGTCCTTGCTTTTTTCATCATTTTAAATATATCTTGGCACTCCCTTCTGGCCTACAAAGTTTCTGCTGAGAAACCAGCTGACAGTCATATGGGTGCTCTCTTGTAGGTAACTGTTTTTCTCTTGCTGCTTTTAAGATTCACTTTGTTTTTAATCTTTGGCATTTTAATTATGATATGTCTTGGTGTGAGCCTCTTTTTTTATCTACATAAATTCTTCTCCTTTTTTAAAAATTCTTTATTGTTTAAAGTATTACATATACTATTACATAAGTCTTCTTTTCCCCCATTGAGCTCTCCCCAACCACCCCCAACACATGCCCTCACCCACTTAGTGTCTGTGTCTATTGGTTATGTTTATATGCATGCATATAAGTCCTTTGGTTGATCTCTTACCCACCTCCCTCCCCTGCCTTCCCTCTGAAGTTGGACGGTCTGTTTGATGCTTCTCTGTCTCTGGATCTATTTATGTTGTTCATTATATTCTGGTGTGCGCCTCATTGTGTTCATTTCATTTGGTACTCTACACTTCCTGGACCTGTATGTCTATTTCATTCACCAAGCTGGGAAAGTTTTTAGCCATTATTTTTTCATATAGATATTCAAGTTCATTCTCTCAAGTTCATACTAGCACCCTCATGATACAAATGTTGTTTTGCTTGAAGTTTTCCCAGAGGTTCTATACTATCTTAACTTTTTTTATTCTTTTTCTTTTTACTGTTCTGATTGGGTATTTTTTGCTTTTTTATATTTTAAATCATTGATTTGATTCTCAGTTTTATCTAGTACACTACTGTTGATTGCCTATGAATCATTTTTCATTTTAGTTAGTATATCCTTCATTTCTCACTGGTTCTTTTTTATAGTTTCTATGTTCTTTTCATGCTGTTGAATTCTTACTAAATTCCTTGACGTTCACACTAAGTTTCTTGAGCATCTTTATAACGGATGTTTTGAACTCTGTATGAGGTAGTTCGCTTGCCTCCATTTCATTTAGTTCTTTTTTTGTTTGTTTGTTTTTGAGATTGCTTTTCATTTGGGACATGTTTTTTTGTTTCCACATTTTGCCTGCTTTCCTGTGTCTGTTTCTGTTCATTATGTAGAGCTGATACATCTCCTGGAATTGATACAATGGCTTTGTGTAGCAAGTATCCTGTAGGGCCAAGTGGCACAGCCTCCCCTATGACTTGGGCTGGCCACTCGAGATGCACACCTGTGTAGGCTGTGTGTACTGACCTGTTGTTGTTGAGCCTTGATTGCTGTTGCAGTCACTGGGGGGGGATTGACCCCGGGCTGATCAACTTCAAGGATCAGTAGGGACTACAATGGATAAGCTGCTATGTAGGAGTCTACCCTACAGAGCAGGGTAGAAGCAGAAAAGTAATATTATTCCATTTCTACTCAAGAAAGAATCTCTTTGGAGAATGAGATGAATGGGTAGAGACTGATGGTAGAAAGACTGTTTAGGAGGATAATATGATCATCCAGGTGAATGATTCCATGGGCCTCTGGTAGAAGAGTAGATCAAATGGAACTGGCAGAGTTTGGTGAGTGACTGGAGATCTAAGGGGCAGGAGGAATTCAGGGGACTCAGACATGCAGCCTTCAGAGTCTGTCATATTCTATTGGCATCTTTGAGAGGCATTTAGGTAGTGGAGTGCTAAATTGCATTGTATACAAATAGAGGAGAGTATATTAAGTTGGTGCTTATATAGTATAAAGAAAAATTGCAAAATGATATATAAAGGAGAAATTAGTAAGGGTTATTGTCTAAGTCATAAAATTGGAATAATTAACGTTTCCCTCATTTTTACACTTTCATATACTCTCTGGTCAGATAATTATGTGATCCAATCTAACTCAACTTTAATAAAATAAACCCTTTAATAAATTAAATCAGCTTTTGTTTGGGGTTGGAAAGAACCCTCTACTTTAATATATCTTTCCCGGGGACCTTCAGAAGTGGGCCCAATTTTCAGTTTCTTATCTTCTCTCTAGGTTTTCCAGGAGCCTTGGCATGGTTAGAATTCTAGCCTTGACTTGTGTCTTGTTAACTATGTGGCATTTTGAGCTCCAGAGTCTTTATCGGTAACTTAAGTGGAATGTAGAAATGAATGTGAAAGCTCAGTGAAAGCTGAAGATCACATGTGATTTATGCATCATTAGTATTTGGGGGGATGTCATCAGATTGGAAGCCATGGAAATAGTGATAATATCAGAAAGCTCCAGGTATGGAAAGATAATGTTGATATTCTATTCAAAGCTGATTGAGACCCTAAAAACCTAAATTGTGACTTATTTAGATAGTTTGATATTTATTCATCCATTTACTTATTTAACAAATATTATAGAATATCTTAAATGGGCATAGAGCTCTGCTGGATACTGGGAATTAGCAAATATGCACACAATCTCTATCCTTGTACAGTTTAGTGAGTGAGATAAAAAATAATAAAAGAATAAAACTAATACATGTAAATTCATAACTATGATAGACACTTTGAAGGAAAGGACTATATTATAAGAGTACATAAGAAAGGTTTAGAGTGTTTGACCTGTTGAGCGAGGTCAGGGTCAAGGAAGTGGTGGTTGCTGTTGGACTTGAAGTATAGGAGTTAGCAAGATACATAGAAGAGGAAGTAAGAGTATTCCAGGCCCAAGGATGACCATCTGCAAAAGTCCTAAGAAAATGAAGAATATCTGGAAGTCAGGGCACAAAGAGAAAGTGGGACATCAGATGGGGTTGAGAGACGTGTAGGGTCCTGACATTGTGGTCATGGTAAAAATTCTGGCCTTCATCCCAAGGACAGTGGGCAAGCCATTGAAGGGCAATGATATAATAATGAGGGTACTGTATCCCAGCGATCAAGTAGTATTTGGACAGAGTTGGCCTTCATTGTGCTTCAGATCAACAAATTGAATCCTCTATTTTCTATCATTATGTTTACAGAAAAGACTAACCTAATGTAAACTTTTCAATACAAAGAAGAATTTGTAAGTTTATGCCTAGAAGTGCATTATCAAAATGGCACTGTATATCATTCCAGGTAGCATTTTAAAAAAACCAGCAGACTATGTCTGTTTACTCAATGAACAATGGTGGCTATTTTGCAGAAGTCATTAGGATAAAAATGAGCCAAGTTTGGCTTTGAGTTACACCCACTAAATATTCCTTTAAAAAAAAAAAAAGTATTGGTTTATTCAAACAATTAAATTTTACCTCAATTGAGAAGATAAATTTCAGTAAAATCCTAAAAGAACAAAAGAGGAAGCCTTATAGGTATCTAGAGAATATATTTTATGCAGAAGGGCCAGGAAAAGCAAAGGCCTGAGGTGGGAGTAGGCACAAGGGTTCAAGGAGCAAGAGTAAGGGAGCAGAAAACTGGCAGGAAATGTAGGAAAAAAGTTAAGTGGGGAAGATGTTATCAAGCCTCATAGGATATGGTGAGGAATTTGACATTGACTCTGAGATAAGAGAACAACAGAGGGTTTTGGACAGAGAAATAATATCATCTGACTTTTATTTTAACAGGCTCCCTCTGACAGCTGTGTTGAAAATGGCCCAAAGAGAGACAAGGCTAAAAGCAGGGAGATAGTGAGGAGGCCACTGCAATGGTCTGGGCAGGGAATGAGCAACTATCTCATGGCTTTCCACTGAATTTAGAATAAAATCTAAATTCCTTGCCACAATCTCCAAGATCCTTCCATGCATCCTACCTGCCCAACTTACCTGGTAACACCCTCCTCTTCAAAAAAGCTCAGAACACAATTAAAATGTGCGAAGAGGCACTCACCTCTCCAGAGGACCTAGTCAGGGCCGGGCCCAGGGACAATAGCACTGAGAGGCGGCAGAGTAGGCCTAAGTCCTGAGGTGGCCAGGAATCTGCCTCCCAGCCTCCGGGGTCAGCTCTGAGAGCCCAGCAGAAGTGCTGCACGGCCTGCGGGCATCTGGAGGCATCAGCAGGAAGTGAGGAGGAGGAGCCTGGGGCAAGGAAGCGATGATTGCAACCTGGATTCCTGCCTGTCAGTTCAGGGTTTGCAGTGGGAGCAGCCACTC